AAGTGATATTCCAGCAGAAAAATACTTGGGACTGAATTACCAGGTATTCTTAGCACAAGATCCACAGTTCCCAATTAACCTCAAAGATGCTGTGGGTGCCCAACCCTCAGGAAATCAAGTCATTAAAGGCTACTTTTATTACAAAGCCCTGATAAAACCCATACATACTCTTGTGGACATCATAAGAGATTTCGAGCAAGTTGTAAGAACCATGCTAAGCTTTTCTTATTATTTCATTTATTTAAAAAAAAAAAAAAGCCACAGTAAGACCTAACAGCTATTGCCAGCTGTGATTTCAGATTACTTTTGCAAAAACATATCCAGCACCATATTTCAGGGTTGCATTACAAAACAGCAGGAACTACCTGAAGTGTAGAGCTACCTCCTGTAGCTGGCAATGAGACCCCAGAAAGGTGCTGCCTGGGGGTCACACCATCACAGCTTGCACCCAACAGCTAAAGCACGCTCCAAAACGCAATCTGGAAGCAGGAGATTCTTTGTATGCTCCAATACAAGGGATAGGCACCAAATGCTATTAACTACTCAGTCATGAGATGCTTGTTTAACCCCCCCCATGCAAGCCGTGCATAGCCCTACTGTATTAGTCCAATTGTGAGCAACAAATCTGACTACTTAATATGCAAATTCCCTTGGTCAGTCTTCCATAGAAGCACCATGAAAGCAGTTATTGTAACTTCCAATTAGACATGTGATATGCAGCACTGCACAGCTCTCGAAAGAAAATATTTAAGAAACTGTTGTCCAGTTATCAAAAGCGGAGGTTGAACACAGTATTTGGCTGTCTAGAAGTTAACGAAGCTCTAGCACTGCATCAAATCCTGCAGGAGGAATTTATATATTTTTAATAATCTCCTATTCTAGCGTGTCAGTCAAATGTGCAGCCCTATTTCCACTTGTCCCTATTATCACTGCTGGGTGATAGGGGCAGAAGTAAAGAAGACAAATTTCAAACAGAATCACCCTCTTCCATAACAAAGAAGGGCGATAAGAACTCCAGCAGGCAGGCAAACATCATGTCAAGGAGAGCACAGCAGCAATCAGACAGCTGCAGCCAAAAGGCTTAATCTGTAATGACTTGTCATGCCCGTACTTCTAGACACTGGATTTCCTGCCCTTTCGTTATTCCACACAAATAACTGTCTCACTGAAATTCACCAAGTAAGACAAAGTAATATGCAACTTCTAATAGCATTAAGAGCTTGCCAGAAAAAAAAATAATGGGTTCTCCTTCTCCTTCCCACTGCTCCCCTCCAAAGAAAGAAAAGAAATTTAAGAAGAGCCCTCCAAAAAGGACCTGACTGTGGGAACAGCAAATTGGCAATGCAAGTTCTCCTGTCTGTCATAAACCAAACATACCTGGTAAGCTATTAAACCTTACAGGCACAAGTGCAGAGTTTCCAGCACTCAACTCCAAACCCAACGCTCTTCTGAACACACAACTGAAGAGGTCACATAACCTGTAAGTGGCCACTTTTCCTCCAGTCTCACCATCCTGCAGAAACTCTAATACCTTTGACACAACACAGCAAAAAGAAATGCGATGCTCAGCTCCTGAAAGCTTGGAGTATCTGATGGGACACAGCTGAACTAAAGAGATGGTGGGTGAGGGGAAAACCAGCACGTCTATAAATCACTTAATGATCATCTTTTATTCTTCTTTGTAGCTCCTCTAAAGAGTCACCAATAAATCCATCTCACCATCCAGGATACCCACCCACCACAATACAGCTCTGCTGGACTACAACACACCAAACGTTGAGACAGGAACTTTTTGCTAAATACAGCAAGCAATATTCTGTTGAAATGAAAACTTGCTAAAAAGAGCAGTGATAATGAAACAGCTGGTACCAATCTGCAAAGACCATTTCATTTCCAGCAGGATGGGCAGAGCAGCATCTGTTTAATTCTTGTTACAGAACAGACTCCTCCTGCTTCGGCCAATGTGAAGAGAAACGTGCAATAAGCTGGTGCACACGTAGGAGAGCTGGTGTGTTTGATTAACTCAGTCTTACACACAGAAACACACCTGAGTATATGCAATGGCTCTCCTGATACACACAAGCATCTTGACCTTGAAAAATACCACTAGTAAAAGACAAAGGAAGTGCAGGCAGTCGGGGCACACTGTCAGCTCTGCCGAGCAGCAGAGAAGTAACGGGAAGTGCCAGTGATTGACAAAAAGACCGAGAGAATACGAGGATGTGACAAATCCTCATCTCAACTCCAGTGATACAATCAAGCAAGGTTTCACCAGCTCCACACAGCGCTGTAATAGACTGAGACCGGTATGAACTAGACTTGAGATCCGGCTCCTTTTATGCAGCATCAAGCCCTGCTATTACTAACTAATCAATCTCTTGAGCCCTCGCAATTCATCAAGAAACTTTGCCATTCCGGGGAAAAGACAAAGCCTCCCCAAAAGTAAGCCCATCACTGGCAATGCTCTGATTAGAAATCAAATGTTTCTCTTTCAAAATACCTTCCTGAGATTTATAAATGATGTAGCCCCGCTCACTGACAGCAACCTGAAAACGAATACACCAGAGGAGGTCACAGCCCAGGACCCGGAGGAAACGAGATGGGAAACAGGAATAGTTGCTTTTCTGCACAGATCTAGTCTCCAAATCGTGTTCGCTTGTGCTTCAGCAGGTTCGCTCGCTGATGCCTCAAGACATAAGCTCCCTCAAGAGAGCAAGTGAGATTTCATGCTTGGCATGGGCACGTTTGCAGAATTTGTAAAGCCAAGAATTAGCGCAGGCTGGACTTCGACATCTCAGGATTTATAAAAGATATTCTGAGGTTCTTTCAGCTTAGCCTACACGCCCTATTCTTGTTGAGAGGGAGGACAGACACATAGCATTACAAAACAGGCTATTGCACACTGTAGCTGATTGTTTAAGACAGTCCTAAGAAGCCTATAATTCAACTGAAATTTCATCACTTCTCACTTCAGCAATACAACCTTAAGGAACGTTATCCTTAGAGCATGAATCAACACGAGCCAGCTGACATGCATTTCGCGTCTCTTACATCTTGAAAAACCCAGCTGCTGTTCTAAGGCACCACACACAATAGGTTATTTAACCCCAAAGCAGCAGCGTGTCACTCTGTGTAAACACCAGGCAGGAACACGCTCCCACTAAGCCCATCCGGGACAGGATCCCGTAGACAACTTGGAGCGAGACTGCCCACCTCACGCGCTGCTACGGGGCGTGTAATAAGACTATTTTACCCTACCAGCCAAACTCTGGTAGTTTGGGTTTTTTTTCCTTGTATCTCATTCATTCAACGTCAGGCAAGATAAGAGCGAGGAAATTAAACTGAGGTTATTTCTGTGACATGATCTCACCTCATAACACCTACCTTCTAAAGCAGGTCTCAGAGCAAACGTCAGCATAGCTTTTAAAGCCATTTTTTGGTCAAGATTTATTGGGTATGTGACGATTCCTGCCATTCTTCTTCCTTGACTTTTAGTATCCCCTAGTCCTCTTTGCACTGACACTCTTGCATTTTTTACTGGTTGGAAAGTCTGCTTAGTGAAGATGGATTTTTTTAGATAACTCACTCCTTCCCCTTCTTTCTCACTTCACTGGCACAGATCGCCCAGAGAAGCTGTGGATGCCCCATCCGTGGAGGTGTTCAAGGCCAGGCTGGATGGGACTTTGAGCAACCTGGTCTGGTGGGAGGTGTCCCTACCCATGGCAGGGGGCTTGGAACTCGATGGTATTTACGGTCCCTACCAACCCAAATCATTCTGTGATTCCCCCTTTTTTCTTAATAGGGAGGAGGAGTACGGAAGACTCATGCTAGTCAGAGCTATAACATTCTTTTTAATGACAATGACGTGATTAAATCCTACACAGTTCTTCGCAGCTGGACTTTCTGGTATTTCTACGAACTATGTATCTGGCATTAATCAGCAGGTGGCTGCTTCAGATATAATTGTAAGAGCTACATTTTTTTTACATTATGAAACAACAGCAGAATCACTGATATGACAGAACACCCATCAGCTGGGGCATCTGAAATAAAACCAGGCTGATAAATAATATTCCATAAGGCACAGGGGAAGATGGAGACCTAGGTCAGCAATTTTTAACCTGAAATCTGTGGACCCTCCATGCGCGAGGACTACTTACAAGTCAAGTGTCCTGTTGGTAGGCTGACTTTAAATGACTATAAAGCGTATACAGCTCAGCTGGAGATCATCAGGGGTCCACAAACCCAAGAACATTGAAAAAGCAATCATTCAGACATTTAGATAGAGAAAAACATAAGGATAAAGGCCGCTTATGCTGCAGCAGTGTTTCCACACCAGCTCCACTCCTTAAGTAGGTGTGCACTTGCACACGAGTGAGAACACACTATTCCAGCATCTGAAGTCGCTGCAAATTGATTATTTAGCATGGGTGATTTAGGCTTGAAGGAAAGCATCCATCTTTCTTGGAGAAACTAAGAAGAAAAATAAAACCCAAACCCACCGCAGTGCCAGGACCTAAGTTATCTGAAGCATTATTTTTCCGCACACCACAAGGAGCTGAGCCCAAGGAAAACAAAGTTTGGGAGCCCCAGGCAGGCCCTTTTCCCAGCCTGTCTTTATTTCCCCAGCCGCCCGCCCCCGGGCCCCGCCGGGCCGGCGCAGGGGCCGAGAGGAGCCCGCACCGGGGCTCTGCCCGCCGGGGCTGCGCCCGCCCGGGCACCCCGCCGAGCTCCGGGGGGCTGTAAGCCGGCCGGGGGTGCCCAGCCCGACCCCCCGCACACCCCCGCCGCCCCGGGAAAGTTGCGGCCCGGGTGGCCGTGCCGGGGAGGGGTGGGGGAAGCCGGGCTCGGCGCCCCAAGGGCAGCGCGGTCTCCCCCGGCCCCGGGCCCGGCCCCACTGCAGGCCCCGGCCCGCAGCGCCCGCCCCGGGGTCCCCCCTTGCGGAGCTGGGGGCGGCCCGCCCGCACCCCCTCACCCAACCCCGCGTCCCCGGCGCTCACCTCCGGTGCCGTCCGAGTTCTCGTTGAGGCTGCCCGAGGAGTCGTGGTGGGAGCCCACACACCCGCCCATGGGGCCCGCCCGGCCCGCAGACCCGCCGCC